TAAAGCCTTGAAGACCTGCAGCACTCATTTGGTTGTATATCTGATCATGCTGATGAGTGGATTTACTGTCATTTTTCTGCATCGCTTCCCCCAGTACTCAGACTACAGGAAACTTTCAGCCATTCTGTTTCATATCATCCCTTGCAGCCTAAACCCCATTATTTATGGGGTGCAGTCTGCAGAAATCTGCAGATCATTGTCAAAATTATTCCGATACAAACCAGTATGGCCATTATTCTGAGTTGAACATTTTTAAGTTAGTGTGTAAACTTGGAGACAAAACATGGCAATTTCTGCCTGGGGAGTGGATAAGATTACAGTAGTCTGTCTGACCGGTAACAGCAAGTCTTTAAACAGTAAAGCCCCGAAGACCTGTATCACTCACCTGTTTGTTTATGTGATCATATTTTTTAGTAGAATGTCTATCATTACTCTTCATCGCTTCCCCCAGTACTCACACTTAAAAAAACTCTGTAGCATTTTATTTCATATCCCTGGCAGGCTCAACCCCATTATTTTTGGCCTGCAGACATGTTTTGTCAAAATCAAAGAAGGTTTTGCTATCTTTATGAAGTAAATTTCTAAGGGTTTTTGTAATGTAATGTGAACCGAGGGTTCACATCATATGTGCACAACTGTTTTCTAGTTTGTCCCTTGTAATTAAGTGTATGAGCACTCATAATCACTTTGTAAATCACAACTCAGACCCCTGTACTGCTTACTGTATATCAAAAAGTGTGGAATTAAAATTCACTTGTTGAAGCGTGTTTCACAAAAAGAATATATACCAATTAATAAAAAATTATTAACATCCGACTGAACTAATTTTATAAGCAGAGTGTGTACGAATATTATTAAAAGCAGTACCAGCCTCAATAAAAAGCTGTCTAACATATGCAACAGGACTTTCTAAGTGATTCAAGACAAGGTGCAGTATCATGGCATTGGCATCATTTTTGTTGCTATTTTCTTAGATGGAAAATTGGTAGCACCACCCTACGAAGTTCCCCTGGTATTATCCTCTCAATGATTTCATAACATTGGAAGTTAAAGCCACTGTCCTGCAATAATTATTTTCCTGACAACCAACCTTTTGGGGACCTGGATTTATGATGGAATTCGGCCCAGATATCATCTGAATCTGCTTGTGCCTATAAATCACCAACCCAAAGAAATAATTTGGTCTGATTTAGGGTCCCAAACCTGCATGAAAATTTAATTCCACTACCGGTCGCTGTAACCTTTTACATTATGTAGAGCAGCATGAGCTCTTAAGGTGATTTCTCTATTGTGTGTTGTATTGATGTGTGAGTAATTTGATACCTTTTAATGCATTCAGTAATATCACTTCAAATATTGAGGAACATTTAAGCAACAATACTTAAAACTTAGAAAATCGACAGGTTAGAACTCAGAGGAAACAGGACTTTTATTAAGAGGACAGGTGCATTACTCCAAACAATTTCTCTGTATGACCCTGGACTGAGTGAGACCTTTTGGATGTGTCGAAGAACACAGAACATTTAGATTCTGACCTATTCTGTTGGTGTGTGGGGAGATTTAAGTAATCAATAAAGGTACACTGCTGTGCATCGTGCTAACAGCCTCTTCTTTAATGGAGAGACGTATCACCCTATTTTACCCACTAGCAACTCATGTGCTATACATCAGAATTAATTTTAGTGACCTGGCCGGCCCCATCTGCAAATTAACCGCAGTGCCCGCAGGTTTCAACTGTAAACCATGCATAACTTGTTTGTATCATAAACTGTATCATTAAAAAAGAAGTAATCTCTCTGACATGACGCTCTAAAGTCTGGCATTTTAATAAGGGGCTTACGGAGATTGACGTAAGTGGCTTTTTAAGGAATTGCAGTTTGGGAAACGTCTGCATTGGCTTTAATTTACAGCCACAGAGGTTTTGCTGCTTGGTGTGCATCTATAGAGAGCTGAAGGGTTGATACCAGCAACAGTGTTGCTGGCGTGTTTGCTGTAAATTTTGTCCATGTAGGTTGTTCTGTGGCAATTGAACAACAAAACTTTGTCTTGTCTCTGAGCCTGTAAACAGAACTTGGATGCAGCTTGTTGACATTTGCAATGGATGATCATAACGATTTCTTAATCTTGCATCACACATTATCTGAGGTAATGATAGTTGATTCCCCCATGATAACATCGTGTCTATAAAACCTTTCTACAGAGATCCTGATAGATGCTGGTAGATATTATCAGCAGTTAGTGGGAAAGGAAGCGAAGCTGAAACGAGCCACTTAAAGGAGGTATTACTGATCTGAAAGCAACTGTTCCTTCAATTTTTCAAAGAAATTTATGTCACTAATAAGACTAGATACAATCTATGATATCAAGTTTACGAGGACATTACTTGTGACATTAACATAATTTTGTTCTTTAAGGTTGATGGAGAACTACAACTACACTTACAACAGCTTCACACTCCAACTTGAGGGGATAGATGTCTCTAAGGAGTCTCTCTACCCTATCTTTCTCTTCTTCCTCTTCTCCTACCTCTTTATAATGGTTGCGAATCTGGGTATTGCTGTTCTGGTTTTTATTGACAAGAACCTCCACCAGCCTATGTATCTCCTTTTCTGCAACCTGCCCCTTAATGATATTCTTGGAAACTCTATCATGGTTCCTCGTTTGCTTTCAGATATTTTGCGGCCTCCCTCTGAGCGTCTCATCAGTTATTATGAATGTGTGGTTCAAGCTTTTACCACACACATGTTTGGTACCACCACACACACTGTGCTCATGATTATGGCATTTGACAGATATGTGGCCATTTGCAATCCCCTGCGCTATTCTTCCATAATGACCAACAAAATGGTGATCAAGTTGACAGTTTCTGCCTGGGGAGTGGCCTTCGTTTTGGTTGGGATTCTACTCGGTTGACACCGGGCCTTGAACGGACTGCAGGACTAGATCACAAACCCTTACTGTGGACAATGGCCTCCTTTGTTAACCTCTCCGTGTGAGAATGTTGTTATAAAAGTTATGCCTCACTTTCCACGTAGTCCTGTTCACAGGTTCTATAGGGCAGCCATGTTTTCACACCTTATACAAGATACAGTGGGTCTGTCGGACAGTAACAACAAGTTCTTTAAGACAGTAAAAGCCGTTTGAAGGACTGCAAGCACCCACCTGGTTGTGTATCTGATTTCTGTTGTTTAGTGGAATGTCTATTCATTACTTCTTTTCATCGCTTTCCCCGCAGTACTCAAGGACTTCAGAAAAATCTGCAACATTTATTTCATATTCATCCCCTGGCAGCCCTCAAACCCATATTGATTGGGGCCTTCAGGTCCAAGAGAGATAAGGAAGTCCTTTTCAAAACTGTTCAGTCAAAATGTTTTTTGCCGTTCTATGAGTCAATTCAAAGATCTGTTTTTTTGTAATGATCAACAAATAATAAAATGTGTTCCATGAGTGCTGCATTACATTGTTTCTTGTTTTTGTCTGTGGTTGAATGTATAGGACCTATTACGAAAATACGGGAAAATTTTGTGTCCAAGGCTCAAGAAAAGTTTTGGCCCATCATAATTTAGGGAATTTCTACTTCTTTTTTCATGGATTCATAACTACATAAAATGTGAAGAATCACTAACATGTCCTACCTTCCTAAGTGTATAAGCAGCTATTATGATCACTTGCTAATGGTTCAGCTCGTGTAATAAGTAGTAAATCTTTTACAAGTCTATGTTACATGACAATACATATGTGAGTTTTCTTTTCTGGATGTCGTGGTTTACAGGCGTTAGTAACCTGGAACCCCTTTGGTAAATTTTTGATGGATAACCATAAGTTTGTGTTAATAAAAAATAAAATAAAAAATCACACCAAAAAGATAACAAATGGTTCCATCTTTCATTTTTCAAATAAAAAGCTTCACTGGAATCTGTATTTTTATCCAAAATATAGGGTGATATTTCAGTGCCTAAGTTGTGTTGATATAAAGCAGACATTTGGGGGGGGATGAGGATGGTTATGTTTGTAACTGGAAACGCCAGACAAGAAAAGGTGCAGTGAAGATGAGTGGTACTCACTGGGGGGCTGCTGTGGCTCAGGAAGGTAGAGCGGGTTCGTCCCCCAATCAGGGAAGGTTGTTGGTCGATCCCCGGCTCCTCCTGCGCACTTGTCGGATAGTATCTTGAGCAAGATACTGAACCCCAAATTGCTCTCGATTGATACATTCAACATCGGTGTTGCATGTGTATGAATAGTTAGTTTTTGTTCAATGGACTTTGCCATCGCTGTGTGAAAGGGTGTGAATGTGGCACGTAGTGAAAAGCACTTTAACTTGTCGGAAGGACTAGAAAGGTCCATTCCATTTACTCAGAAAAGTAGGCCAGTCCAAGTGAGCGGAAAATCCAAAAGATTGGTCTTTAAACTCCAATGTATTGGCCGTAGGGTGTCCAAAGGGTTTGAAGAATGTTCAATACATGTTATTGGCATTGTCAGCAAATGGCCCTTTGTTAGTCCTCATATTTTAATGAGCCATTCTGGGGAGGGTCCTAACATAATTTGGGGCTCGGTCCAGAATTTGAACTTAGGCTTATGACCCTCCCAAAGGAAGCTGCGCTCTGTCCATCAATAATTAATGGACAGCGTTTACGTCTGAAGAACCTGGGGTCCACTTTTGCCACTGTCAGCTGTTATAACTGATCCTTTCTTCTGTGATCAGATCAAATAGAGCCAGTGTTTTGTTTTGTTCTTATTCTGGGGCTACTTAGAAAACATGGGCGAGTCAACGTGGTGAAACATTGATTTCACCTTGTTTTAGCTCACCAACACTTTTTTCGTTCTGTAATGTTCATACCTCTGTACCTTCCTGTTTCTATGCTGTAGTAGTATCTATACACATTCTTAACTCGTGCATTAGAGTGATCCTGACTTTTCGGCAAATCTTAGTATGTAATCATGATTTTTCACACTGGAAGCGGTCCACGGTGTCTGTAGAATATTAAAAGGCTTTCGTTTCTAAGGTAACAAAAATTCACTGGAGATAAACGGCCAGAAACACGTAAAATACCAATGGTGAATATATTTGTATATGGGCAGATACTGTTCATATTCCAGAATATTATAAGCACTGGATCTTTGACAGGATTTTATTAAAAAATTTTGATAATATGATCATAACTATCATGTTGATATTACATGATCAGGATACATTATTCATAAACTTGGATACCATTAGAATCTTTCCAAATACCATGGCTTTTTGTCCAGTGGAAAACAAAAATGTTCAGGTGATTTATACCCTACATGACAAAATTATTTATGCAGATATGTATTCTATTTTTTGCGTAACTTTAAGCTGTGACTGGATAATACTTGAATAATGTAAACTGTGTCAGAACACGAGTGGAGAAGTATTGGAGGTGAGCGAATGACTGGGATGACACAAAAAGTTTACTCTTCATGTGTCTCGGGGAGCTCTAAACATTGTATGGTTTTGTTGACAGTTGCCGAATGTAGTTATATTGGTCACCGCTAAGTCCGGTCTGCCTGTGGGTTTTACAGACTATCATAATTTAACCAATTGAAAGTATTTTAAAGAAAAATACTCCTAAAAATAGTAAAGTGTGGACATGCAAGGGTTTGCTGACTGACAGCTACGGGTAATTTGTCAGCAAGCCCTGCGAGTTGTCACTACAGTCACCCAATCTTAAAGCATTACCTGTTTCATGAGTCACTATCACACTGTCTTTTACCTTCACATATTTCATCATCAGATATTGAAAATCCTGCAGAGATAAGCTGCTGGCCATTCACTTTTCCCTCTGCCGTCAGGCTAACCATCTGAAGTTGCCAATGCTTCCCAGCTTTGCCCTGGCGGGACACTCTGTGCCGCTCTGCTCCCTATAACACCATAGAAGTCAACACCTGAAAGACATCTGGAATCTGTCAAAACACACAAAGCTGTTAATAACCCAGGATCACTTTCACCTCCTGACCATTTTTTTTTTTCCAGGGCTTATTGGCTGCTAAGCAGTTTAGGCATTCCTGCTGGTTAGAAAGCAGTGTATGTGAGTAGAATAACATTATGTCTTGAGTTACAAATGCAAACAGAGCAAATAAGAATGAGCGAGCAGAAACTTTCCCCAGTCTAATAGCAATTTCTACCGATGCACGGGTGCCATTACAGCCTTCAGGCTCCTAAAGTATATCTGTAGGAGCAGTAGGAGGATCATTAAATGCTGTTCTTTTTCAACACCAAACAGGTCGGTCCATCGTAGAGCGTTCTGAGTTTTGAAATTAGGTCAGTATTGCATGTGATAAGACGATGGCTTGCTTTCATTTACAGGACACATATGACGTGGGATTCACTGCCGGACCCTAGTGCCATGGCTTCAAGAATTTCTATCAGGTACTACTGTCAGCTGCCCCCCCACCCCCCTCCTTCGTCTCAGCTAAATCTGTCTCAACACATTATCCTCCTTGCCACCATCTCTACACTTTGCCGATCATATCGTTGTCCTATTATGATCTATTGTTTGAGAGCGCACGGGGAAAGATCAATGTCCGATCTATAGGCAAACACGACAGTGAGGCGTTGTGCACTGTAAAAGCCTGTCAGAACTGTATACAAACTGCAGGAAAAAAACAATATCATAGTAGGCTTACATCAGCTAGTTATCTGCTGAGCACAGGTCAGGAGGGTCCACAGGGCCTTTTGATTCGACTACAAAGGTCCTTTAAAAATGGAACGCAACTTGGTCGGATAGTGCATGTGATTAACAGCCTTGTGGGGTTTGCCTTGTCAGCTTGATTAGATAGATTCAGGAGGAAAAGTGGGTTGATGATAAACATGACAGATCAATATTGCATCGGGACTGAAACATCCAACGTGATTTTTCTCTTTAATGTTTGGTAAGCAGATCTGGGTCGATCCGCTCTTAATACGACATGAAGAAAAAAATTTTTTCATGGATGTAGCTGCCAATATTGAAAATGAACATGAACATAGAAATATCAAAACAGCAATAGGAGGAAAAGCAGATCAAAAGCACAGCAAATCCTGGCAAAAGAAATGAGGTTTCAGTCCCTCAGCCTATGCATTCTTAGAAGTCTAAGAAATCAACAGTACCTTGTTTATTATGGAAGCGGGCACTTCAGTGGGCATTGTCGAGTGCTTTAGCTGCAGGGTGCTTGGTGTTTCGCCAGTGAATGAAGCAGATGTCAGGCAGAAGACACCTGCTTTGGGGCTCAGCCTCCTCCTTTCTGGCCTGCCGGCCGGGGTGTCGGGGGTCGTCGCCCTGCCCCAACGGAACACCCATAGCTTAGCGCCTCCTGGCTATTGCGTTATTGTCTTAACACAGCCATGGATGTTGATGAATTCTATGAAGACATTTTCAACACATTTTCTTATCTGTTACACGAACATTAAATGTTGTAAATTAAGGGAACTGATAGCTGGTGAAGCCTTACTAACCAAACGATGGCAACATGAGGTGTCATACTGGTGCAAAATGATGACTGGATTATCGCGTTGAATGAAAAGAGTAAATTTTTTTTGTTTATATATGTTATGATAGAAATTCTAAGGAGGTTATGTCTCTTACCAAGGACTAGGTCCGGTGTAGAGCTGGGTGGGGGGGTGCAAGCGTGGTGGCAGTGGCTGGGCCATCTGTTTGGGATGTTTCATGTTTGGCTTGCATCAGTGCCTGGTATGATTGATTTGACAGTCGATAAGGATCGCAATCTTCTGCTGTTCCAAGTGGGGTGTTGGGGAGGCGTGAGGTGAGTATTTGTTGGTGAACGACAGGATATTTGAATCACGGCAGCCTTCACAAGTGCAAAACAAGAAAAGAAGATAAATGAAATGTCCAAATGTTGTGTAACTTGTAGTGGCGGCAGGCAACGATCTTGGCCATAGGTTGCTGCTTTAATCAGGCCACTGCTCATCAAAGACACAAGGAACAGTGACCTACATTCACCTCATCTGAATGACAGATGTCCCCAGTGTCTTTGCTGCATATTTGTAGTATGTGCTCACTTCTTTAGTGATTATTGCTGCACGCACACAGCTCAGGCATTCAGAGCTTCTAAAGCAGCAAAGAGTCTGGTGAATACTGAGAATGTGTTCTGTTAAGTTCAATAAACGCTCTCAAATGTAAGGCATGAATTGTGCCTGGGTGATTCATACTACCACACCATCCAGACATGAAGTGCTGCAATCATTGTACAATAAAGATGATTTTCATATGGACTATGAATAGAATATTTTAGTATGACATATTTTTGTATGGCCACCTGGAAAGTAGTATCATCCGTGGTTCCTTCAACCAAAAGCTGAATTGGCTTTATTGGATGGATTATTGCAGAAAAAAATGTGGAAAACAAAGGCCAACCGCCTTTCTTTTAACACGTAAAAGACATAGAACAAAATGTGACAATCTCTTACGCTTGTGTCCATTCAAAGGACCCCACTGACTTTGAGGAACAGGGAACTGGAAGTGCACATAATTTTTGGGCTTTCCTGCAGCCTTATTCAGATGAGTCTTCACAGAAAGTAGGATGCACCGCGCCGCGCCCTCTTATTTTCAAAAACAATCTTAACTCAAGATCTTCCAGTTCCACTTACCTGTCATTGGGTCTTACTCATGGGAAAAAGGTAGATAAGTTGACACTGGGGTGGATTGTAAGATTAACGCATCTATATCAAAGTGAGTGTCTTTGGGGTTTTTTGGTTGAGCTAAACAGAGACATTTGAATATTTGAGCTTGGGCTTTAGGCCTTTGTGATGGGCATGTTTTTTACTGGTTTTCTGACATTCTATAAAGGATAATAGATGAAAATAATGGATGTATTTGAACTGAAAGGATGCACATGCATTAGTATGGGGAGGGGGTGTAATAGAGGGGACATAAATCTAGTTTCAAGTCCTTTGTTGTTTCAGTCATACTGTGTGTACATAGTTGCAGTTTACCCTACATTTTTTGTGGCTTAATCAAGTTACAACAAACTAATCACCAACGTTAATAACTAATACATACACAGCAGGAGAGTTAGGAGAAAACAGGGAGGTCAGCAGAGGGCACAAAGGTAATTTTTGACCCTTATGGGGGTTAATCCAGTTCCTGTTACTTTAAACTTACTCCAATTATGAGCAAGGCCACATCCCTGAACTGGGTGGGACCAGTTAACACCACCTTGATGGGAATTGTTTCAAAGGTAAGGTTTTTGGAAAATATGTTGGAGTGAGAAGATAGCTAGCTCCCACAAATAATCTTCTAAAATTACAAAACTGCTTTTCAATATTTAATTATTCAGCTTCAGAGTGTTGGTACTGTATATGTATTTTT